TAGATTTGATATCCAAACAAATTTAAAATTCGAATTTGAATGAAGAATCATACTTGATTGGGAGCTGATTTGAGTTAAAATCCTACCAAATTTTAATTTCGAATTTGAAAAGAATCCTATTCGAATTGATATTTGATTTTGGGGTCAAATTTAAATTAAGAATCCAATCAAATTTCCAACCCGAATAAGGAATCATATTCGAATTGGGATTTGGATTATTCTTCTAGTTTGAATCCCAACTTTTTGCCTATAAATTGAGCCTTCAAGTGCATTGGTAGAAGCACAACATAAGTCCATTGAAAATGTTGGCTTCAAAATTTCTTCCCTTTTTTTTCTCTTAAATTCTTAGCTTCTAATATTCACGCTCTTCTCTTCTTTATGCAACTTTGGATTGGGAAAATTGGGAAAATTGACAAAATAAGCCTCCTGTAAGGGCCTATTAAGTTTTTTAATCGTCATTCTCAAAACACAAGTTTTCTAGTCACATGCTGACATCATCTACTTTGCCAAATGACCTCCAATGCCCCTCCTTACTTCGGTACCAAAATTTTTTAGTTTTCCCTCCCTTACTTGGGAAATATGAATAGTCCGAACTTCCAATTTTCCCACGTCCGTTCCATCTTTATCGCACTCACACTGTAGCATTCTTCGCTCGCTCAAATTTGGCTTGTCTTCACCTGCGATTGAAATTACATTTCTCAAAATCTCGTTCTCGTTCTCCTTCGTATTTCGATTGCGACTCTTTAAGATAACTCTGACCCTGTCTTCAAGCGGTGAGACGAAGTGATTTTGGTAGCAGATTACAACGAAGGAGATTTCATGGTTAACTTTGGGTTAGTGCATGTTATCTCTCGATTGCTTAAGATTTTCATTTTAATTTCCACTATTTTAGCTATTGTTCGTAAGTTCTATACAACCCTGATGTTGGTCGTTTGTCTCTTTTGCGATTTTTGTGGATTTTATACACTGCACATCTAGGGCTTTCAGAGAAGAGGAAAATAATACATAATCGGCGCCATGGAAATGAATCGATGAAGGAGAAAGTCGTGTTATTGAAAACCAATAATACTGAGGGGGGGGGACTGATGTTGAAATAGCCAGAGCGAAAAACGAGATCGAGAAATACAGTGAACATGAAAAATCGAGAGCTAGAAATATCGAGAGCTAGAACATCGAGAGCTAGAAAGATTGAGAGCGATAAATATCGAGAACGAGAGAATCTCCAGTGATTTACAATTACCATGAGTGTGCAATAGGAAGAGCGAAATCGAGAATCATCGTGATCGATATAGTGAACTTGAAAAATCCAGAGCTAGAAATATCGAGAGCTAGAAAGATCGAGAGCGAGAAATATTGATAACAAGAGAATCTCCATTGATTTGCAATTATAGTGAGTGTGAAATAGGTAGAGCAAAATCGAGAATCATCGAGATCGAGCATCATCGAGATCGAGAAAAATTACAGTGTTTTACATTGTATATTTCAACTAGTTGCGTGTTTCCCTTTCCCTATCTTCTTAATCCGTGATTATGTATCATGTTCAATTATTAAATTTTTTAACTACTTACGTGTTTCCGTTTCTCTATCTGCTTCATTTGTCATCATATATCTTGTTCAATTTGTTGCAGGTGCGCAATGGACCATCAGTTGAGGATTAAGGAGAATGACCGCTTTCCAGCTCAAGCTACCAGCATGTCTCACTTGAGCAATGTCAATAGGCTTATCAAGGATAAGCTCACAGTGGACCAACTTGATATGTTTCGTAGAAGAACAATATTTGGTCGATTTGTCGACTTGGAGATGATGTTCTGCAGTGGTGTAGTTCATCACTTTTTGTCAAGGGAGGTTGTTGGTAGCAGTGACGATAGCATGAGATTCTTAATTGGTGGCAACGTGTTGACATTCTCGAAGGATCAATTCATGCTTATAAGGGGATTGTGGTGGCTGCCCGGTAAGGTGGTCCAGAAAAAGATTGGAAAGAATAGGTTGTGGAGGAAGTACTTTAACGATGAAGCCTCCATGCTGCTCGAAGAATTTGTGGAGGTTTACAAGCAGACTGATTTCAAGGACGATGAGGACGCCGTTAAAGTGACATTAATTTTGTACACGGATCTTGTGATGATGGGAAAGATCAAGAGCAAGTCGAAGGTTGACATCGACTTGTACAACCAAGTCGATGACTTGGACTACTTCAACCATTTGGACTGGGGTTCTGATGTTTGGAGTACGACAGTTAATGGCCTGAAGCGTGCGATGAATGGAAAAGTTGCGCTATATAAGAATAAAGTAAGAACGAACAAAAAATCTCTAGTAAAGTGTAGCCTACCGGGATTTTCGCTTGTGTTTCAGGTAATCAATACGTATGCATACGAGTTTGTTGTTTGTGAAAACTTTTTTAGGTGTGAGACTAAACTAAAATTTTATATTCAGGTGTGGAAATATGAGGTTGTCCCATCTCTCATCACTCCCAATGTCGATCATTTGAGCGAGACCGCGATTCCCCAGATAATTCGGTATTCGTGCAGTAGAGTCGTCGGTACAAAAGATCTGGGGGAGGAGGTTCTTGTGTAGTTGTAATGGTATTTACACTTCCTTATTTTCTTGTGATGTACGTTTAGTTGGTCATATCTTATCCACTCGTGGAGACGGAGCTGGATAGGGACTACCAGAGGTGTTTATTGGACGAAAGAGAAGTGGTTGATTTAAATGCGCCTGGGTGTTCCACTTCCGACAGCGACGATGGATAAAATCCTTCCCCCATCACCGACAATTTTGGTGCCGAAGACGATCTCCCCCTTGACGATGCGCAGTCGTTGTAAACGAATGTACAGGCAGTGTTAGATGAGTCTTCGGATATGCCACGTACAGAGGCCACGTCTGAAGGTGGGCAACGGACACCGGTCGAAGTACTTCGACCAAGTACTACTATTCGTTTGAATGTGGGGCAAAGCACGCGGCAATCACCGCGAGCGACGTCACGCGATGCTTGCCCTACACAACGGGACGACACCCGTGGATCGA